TGTACAGCATGGCATATTGAATATGGTGGTGTGGAATAGGGAACATACAGCATGGAATTAAGGCCTCTCCTAACAGAAGTGTTTTGTACTTTAATAGAGAGATCTCAACCTATTTAGACCTCCATCAACATGGACCCACTATTGTTTGCAGTTATAGCTTAGCCTGTTGGACCCAGATGAGGAGAGTTATTTGCCCCTTTATTGAGACTTGGTCCCATTCAAGCTCAGCTGATCACTGCTGTCACATGCAAATAAGCAGCAGAAGGACACTTACTCTACTTACTTCTTCTGCCAGGTCCTACTTTAGATGATGTCATCACTCAGAGCCTGGCCAAGGAAGTGATTAGTGTAACTTCCTCTGTCTGGGGTCTATGTTTACATTTGTGACAGTAACAATCGGCTGTTCTATCTGTCAGAGTGAATGGCCACTGACCAAAGGTCTGAAGGGGAAAAATCTTAACTGGAAGCAAACACTTCCACTGTCCTTGAGTGAGTACTGGCATGTTCCAAAAGCTCTCTTTATAACCACATAGGTTGTAACATCTATTTTAGGGTAAGACTTCATTTGAACCCTTAGTTTTTAGTACAGGATGTTTGTCTGTAAGCCCAGACTAGCCATATTCAGTCTTCGTGATATACTAAGGGCGAAAGAAGATAGCGGATCTGTTGTCCATAGTAACAAATCAGATTCCACTTCTCATTTTTCTCAGAGCAAATTAGACAATAAGAGCTTAAATCTGCTTGGTTACAATGGGAAATACTTTTCTCTTTCCTCCCTACTATGACATATGAACTTAAAGTGGACCTTCATTTACCTGTGTGACTTTGGGTTCCTGCACACTTCCAATTCCAAGCTACTCCTCCCCCCCCCATGCCTACAATATAAACTTACTTTTTTGGGGTTATATTTCCTTTTCTAAATGATTTTTTATCCATTTCTCCTGCGATGGACACACAAGGGTTGATTTACTAAACCCGGAGAGTACAAAATCTGGTGTAGCTGTGCATGGTAGCTAATCAACTTTTAACTTCAACTCGTTCAATTAAGCTTTGACAAAAAAAAACAAACTGGAAGCTGTTTTGTTTCTGCGAAGAGCTACACCAGATTTTGCCGTCTCCAGTTTTAGTAAATCAACCCCACTGTGTCTCTAAAGAAATGACCCATCAGTGAATATATTTCTTGGAAATCAGGTGTCATACATTCTAGGAAGTGCACATTACTGTTTTTTTAATAATAAAATACAGCTCCTAATAACAGAATATATGCATACTTGTGTTCAGGACTTGCCAAATCTCTCAAAATAGTAGTTAATCTTACTGTACCTATTCACAGTTATTTTATTTGTACTGTAATTAAAAATTGTATCTTTAAAATCAGGACCATATTGCATGGCTCCCAAATCCCATTCTAGCTAATATGACCATATTTGTATTACACTATGTTTATTTAGTTCCAACCTACTGGGTAAAACAAATCTGCATTATTTTTCTTCACTATGGTGAAATCTGAAGGAATGGCTTTCTCTTTATTTCATTGGTACTTTAGTTTAAAGTGTATCTAAAGCCATCATTTTATCTTTAGGGAGTTTACCCTTTTTACTCCTCCTGATGACCACTGTCACAGGGACTGAAACTGATTGAACATCAAAAAGAAGAGCACAGGAGCACAACATAAGGGAAATATACCAATGGAGTCTCTTCCTATGACACTGTTCCCCTGACAAATGTCTAAGAGAGGATATTTCTTTTTTTTAGAAAATGTTTAGAAGCTAATGCAGTAGATCTATTCCGTGAGATATATAAACATGGGTAGAAAAGTGGTTATAGTTGTACTATTTTGATGTTATTAAGAATGAAATTGTGAAACTTAAAAGAGAATCTTGTTTATAACTGTTTGATAGATTTTAGAAAATAATAATAAAAATTCATAAAAAGAAGAGTGGCTATTTCTTCACCTTGGAAAGATTTGCTCTCACTTTCTGTTTTGTCTTTCCAGTTAATCTTCCCAAGGGGATAGAAGAAGCATACGAAAAAAATTTTTTTTTAGGGGGTTTTAACCATTTCCTAAAACTGTTGGCTTTACAGTTGGACATAGATTCAGAGATATCATGTTGATTCAGTACAGAATTGATCTAATCTTCAAAACTGGTAGGATAGGACAAAAGGCAAGGGGTAGATTTACTAAAGGCAAATAGACTGTGCATTTTGCAAGTGCAGTTGTTCCAGAGGTTAGTAAATGAAGGAAAGCTGTGCTGACTTCCATCATCCAATCATGTGCAAGCAGAAATGCTTGCAAAGAACAGCACCCACAAGCTAACAAATTCTACAATGGTCAACTTGTGAGTGTTACAAATTCCTCTAAAATAGGAAGCTGGACCAGGATGCATGCAGATGTATGCCGAGACATAGGTGGGCTCAGTTAAGCCCCTGCACATGAACATGACACCTAAGGTACCATATATTTTACACTTTTCTTGTACAATTTTCCTATAGATTTACCAAAACCATATAATATGAGGTCAAACCTAAACACTTTAAATTTTTATGCAATCAGGCAGGCCCTTGCACGACATGGTTTAAGATAAATCTAAAGAAAATTGTATAATGTCTGGCCAGCTTAAGTCTATAAAGAAGGCACAGAATCATGCGCATCAACTCTGAAGGGAAGTCTGTGGCATAGAATACCCAGCTGTGGGAGCCAAAGAGTAACAGGGTCCAAAAGATACACCAGAAGATATCTACACATCAAGAGCTAAGCAGAAAGTTTCCACAGAATGTTCCAATGAATGCTAAGCACAATGTGAATGAATCTCATATATATATATATATATATATATATATATATATACAGTTGTGGCCAAAATTATTCAACCCCCACTGAAATTGAGTGTTTTGGCCAGTTTGACATTGCTTTTGATCATTCAGTCATCTTGCTTACATTTACATTAAAGAGGCACTTGTAGGTCAGACAAATATAACATAACAGTTATAATGAAATAACCACAAATGTCTTTTCTGTGCTCACAGCATTATCAGTTTTATTCAACCCCCAAGTGACATTCAATCTTAGTACTTAGTACAGCATCCTTTTACAGTTATAACAGCTTTTAAACGTGAAGCATAGCTTGACACAAGTGTCTTGCAGCGATCTACGGGTATCTTCGCCCATTCTTCATGGGCAAAGGCCTCCAGTTCAGTCACATTCTTAGGCTTGCGCACTGCAACTGCTTTCTTTAAGTCCCACCAGAGGTTCTCAATCGGATTTAAGTCTGGTGACTGCGATGGCCACTCCAAAATGTTCCAGCCTTTCCTCTGCAACCATGCTCTAGTGGACTTGGAGGTATGCTTGGGATCATTGTCCTGTTGAAAGGTCCAACGTCTCCCAAGCCTCAGGTGTGTGACGGACTGCATCACGTTTCCATCCAATATCTCCTGGTACTGAAGAGAATTCATGGTACCTTGCACACGCTGAAGCTTCCCTGTACCTGCAGAAGCAAAACAGCCCCAAAGCATGATTGACCCTCCACCATGCTTCACAGTAGGCAAGGTGTTCTTTTCATCATAGGCCTTGTTCTTCCTCCTCCAAACATAGCGTTGATCCATGGGCCCAAACAGTTCTAATTTTGTTTCATCAGTCCACAGAACACTATCCCACAACTTTTGTGGTTTGTCCACATGGCTTTTGGCATACTGCAGTCGACTCTTCTTATTCTTTGGAGACAGCAAGGGGGTACGCCTGGGAGTTCTGGCACGGAGGCCTTCATTACGCAGTGTGCGTCTTATTGTCTGGGCTGAAACTTCTGTACCCACATCTGACAAATCTTTTCTCAGTTCCTCAGCAGTCACACGGGGACTTCTCTCCACTCTACGCTTCAGGTAGCGCACAGCAGTCGAAGTCAGCATCTTCTTTCTGCCACGACCAGGTAGCGTTTCAACAGTGCCCTTTGCCTTGAATTTGCGAATGATGCTTCCTAAGGTGTCTCTTGGTATGTTTAACATCTTTGCAATCTTCTTATAGCCATTGCCCTTCCTGTGAAGAGAAATCACCTCTTCTCTTGTCTTCCTGGACCATTCTCTTGCCTTCACCATGTTTGTAACCACACCAGTAAATGTCTAGAAGGAGCTGAGTATCACAGTCATTTTAAAGCTGCCTAATTGGTGCTTATTATGCTTGATTGCTGCTCGGTGACATCCACAGGTGTTTTCAATACCTGATGGAAAGCACCTGTATGAACCTCTGTTCTTCAGAGTGGTAGTCTTTAAGGGGTTGAATAATTGTGGCAATGAAGAAACCACATAAGAACCATTTACTACTGTATTACATAAACAATTGATGTCATTTTAGTTGCATTTGGGTAGTTACAACGTCCTTGTAGGATTTGATTCTGAATACAATTCCAAATGTACACTATAGTCCCTAAACCCCTTTACAGCATTGGGGGTTGAATAATTTTGGCCACAACTGTATATATACACACAAACATTTAGAGCTAGGTATACAAATTATATATAGTTATTATACAGTATATGTTGAATAAACTATTTCTAGTGCATCAAACGCTTTCCCTTGTACTAAAATCATCAAAAGCCTTCTGTGCATTACAGTCTTAACCGCCTCCAGCCCGCCATATAAGGTAATGACGGGTGCAAGGCGGTTCTCTCATTCTGGTAGGACGTCATATGATGTCCTCCCACTCTAACCGAGCATGCGCAGCTCCGGGAGTGCGCAGCGCGGCGATCAGTGGTGCACTGTGTTCTCGGACACAGCGAATCACCGATCAACGGAAAGAGCCGACGATGTTGGTTCGGTCATGTGATCAGCTGCATCCAATCACAGCTGTTCAAAATTAAATAGGGAAATGTCGGTTATCTGCATTTCTCTCCTCACGAGCTGACAGCTTTCTCTCCTCACACTGACAGCACGAGAGGAGAGGAGAGCCGGTAATCAGCATTCCTCGGAAGGGACATGTGCCCTGATGATCAGTGTAGCCCCAGCAGTGCCACCTGTCAGTACTCATAAATGCCACCTGTCAGTGCTCATCAATGCCATCTGCCAGTGCCCATCAGTGCCTCATCAATGCCACATAGCAGTGCCTACCAGTGCACATCAATGCTACATATCAGTGATCATCTGAGCTGCCTTTCAGTGTCACCTATCAGTGCCACCTATCAATGCCAGTCAGTGCCACCTATCAGTGCTGCCAATCAGTGCCACATATCAGTGCCAGTCAGTGCCACCTATCAGTGCCAGTCAGTGCTGCCTATCAATGCCACCTAACAGTGCCAGTCAGTGCCACCTAACAGTGCCAGTCAGTGCCACCTAACAGTGCCAGTCAGTGCCGCCTATCAGTGCCATATATGAGTGCTGCCTTTCAGTGCCCATCAGTGATGCCTGTCAATGCCCATCAGTGCCACCTACTAGTGCCTCCTCATCAGTGCCCATCAGTGCCGCCTATCAGTGCCCATCAGTGCAGCCTATCAGTGTCCATCACTGCAGCCTCATTAGCGCACATCACTGAAGGAGAAAAATCACTTATTTACAAAATTTTATAACAAAAACTAAGAAAAAAAACATGTTTTTTTTCAAAATTTTCTGTTTTTGGTTTAATAAAAACCCAGAGGTGATTAAATACCACCAAAAGAAAACTCTATTTGTCTAAAAAAAAAATGATACAAATGTCATATGGGTACAGTGTTGCATGACTGCGCAATTGTCATTCAAAGTGTACCAGCGCTGAAAGCTGAAAACTGGCCTGGGCAGGAAGGGGGTATAAGTGCCCTGTAGGCAAGTGGTTAAAGTGCTCCATTTCTTGAAAAGCAACAGCGCAAAAAATCTTCACAAGAAAAGTTCAGTTGTACTGTCACTAAAAGAAAGTCCAAAATAAAGTGCAAAGTGCAACAACATACATATGTGCAATCAACTCACTGATTCCTTCTGACTCCTTATTATATTAGCAGGTCAAAAAGCATTGGTGTGCTTTTAAAGCAAGTCCAACAGTGCCTTTCTCAGTTTTCCTCAGGGCAACCCTCAATTTAAATGGAAAGCAGAAAAACAGAACAGAAACAAAGCACTTAAGAACTGTAAAGTTTGAAGCACTAGAAATATTTTGTTCACTATGTTACTCAAGTGTAACAGTTTTACATAGATATGATGATATAGATACAGCAGGTTGTTACTGAAGAGGAATAGAGTGCAGATGAATTATATAACAAGAAGGCCAGATGCTTGGATGGATGAGAGTCCAGCAGGTGAGTCCATGAAAATAGGTCTATGCCTTTGACAAAGCAATAGTTTTTAAGCATTTTGCTAACAATGCTACACATAAGGATCAAAGAATGTAACTCTGCACAAACTATGGTTTTTAATTATGTCTAGACGATGTCTACTGAATTACAGAAGGAAGCATTGATTTTTACAGGATCTATATGCTTTTTTTACAGCTGAGGATACTGTTTGCTGTATGTCCATGTGGGCACATCAGTAGAGCAATCAAATTACAAACAGCCCAGTTCTAGGGAAATGGCAACATAATATTCTGGACAGGACACTCTGTTAATAAAACAGCTATAATAAAAAGATTGTTAGGAATATGCCACAGGTTAAACATTTATGGGCACTTGATGTTTACAATATCACGGCTGAAGTCCATGTCTGCTATATGAGCTGAGCTACTGCTGTATTTTTTTTCCCTGACCTTCATAAGTGGATACAGAACAAATCAAGGTCGTGGCTGTGCTGATTCCACATTGATACATCTTAGCTGAAAGATAAATGCTCAAGACTAGACCTGTCCAACTCTTGCCTTTAGTTGTCAAAACATCCATTAAGTGTGAACATAAATTCATTCAGATACAAGGCTTGCTGAATGTAAATGATGTTTATTTGCATACATTTAATGCTCAGGCAGCATTCCGGGCACCTTTAGCAAACAAAGACAAGAATATTTAAAGGACGTTAAAGTTAAGTTACCAACAGGCATAAGATGATGCTTGGTGGTTCAGATTAGAATTTTACATCCATGGGATAAACACTATAAAACTGACTTGATATAGCAATGCTTGGATGATAGACTGAATTACTATGTTGGGGGGTAATTTATTCATGTCAAGGCTTAAAGTGAACCTGTGCCCAAGATGATGCACATTAAAGTGTTTATATATTCTGTACAAGCTGTGAAAATTCTTAAAGCAAGCCCTCATTTATCTCTATCTATAAACATTGTGAACAAATTAATTTGTAAAGTTTACAATACAGGCAAAGAAAGCCTTTTCCCTACTACATTCTCTTGCTCATAATCTTTTCAAGACTATTTAAATATATTTTAATTGCGTAGTTTGGTCACTGGTTCACTTTAATTTTTCATTTTGACTAGAATGTACTTTCAAAGTATTAAATACTTCTTACTGATTTTCATGAAGAACATCCCGGAAGTCTGAGAGCAAAAAATGCCATACTTAATCTACAGTTTTTCTATATTTTCAGAACTTCAAGGGGACATACTGTACATTAGACTTATTTTAGAGCATCAGCTCTCCAGGTCCATTACTAACTAGTCTGTTGTAGAGCTCATTTCCTACTGTAATCTGAGAAAATAACATTTTTGACTCATTAGAAAAACAACTCTAAGTATAATTGTGCAAATGTGTGCTTTACACGACTGCATTAGATGTATTTGATTTGTAATTAAATGGTTTATTCACCTTTACATCACCTTTCTAAAAAAAAAACCTAAGCATTCCATCTTCTCTAGAATCCTAAAAATGGGAGTTCTCATTTTTTTAAAAAAGATGCAGAATTTCCAAGGCATACCTTGGATTTTATATATATTTATGTCGTACTCATATCTGATTTCCTGGGTGGCATTATTGACATCCCAAAATGTCTATATTGTTTCTTTATATTTTTTATGGGATGATGCTCTCAGGATCTCATATTCTGAGGTATTACTTAAATTCCACTCTCTACATGCAGCACAAGGGACATACTTACAGTACATGAGAACAGAGGGATGTCTTCATCATTACCATATGTTGAGGTAAGTTCTGGACCTGGAAAAGTTGCTTAGCTGAGGTACCTGGATCACATGACTACCTTCTTCAATGCATGACTTTACTGGGAAGGTTGAGTTTGCCTACCAGAAAAGCACTCTACAGTTGCTTGAGCAGTCCACACATCAAGGGGAGGAGCGCCTGCTCCAAACTTTGCAGTGATTACCGCTATAGCGATGAGTTCAAAGATACAGTTTCTTTTAAATTTCAACTGCATATTTTTTTGCGCTGCAATACTGTTTTTAAACTTAGATACTCTTTTTGCAAATACATATTCAAATCCCTCTACTAATCTCAATTACCTTTAAAAAAGACACATTTGGTGCAATGCTCTTTAGATGTGTTTCATGATTTTCCAAACAATTATTACAAAACATACTCACCTAGGTGGAGGCAGCATCAAACTGATGTTGCATCTTGGCCCATCCACCTCTACACAGAGAACTGAGCTATCTAATACTGCTGATTACGCAGTTCTCCCCCCCCCCCCCCAGTCACTGGCTCTCTGCTCTGCTCTTCCAGGGCTTACTGGAGCGAAGGACAGCTGGCTCAGTTACCCAGAGGCAAAGCTGAAAGGCTGAACCAGCTGCTAGTCAAGGCTTCTGTGTGAATCCCGACCATATGGTCAGGATCTTTTCAGAGCCTGAACTGTCTCTGTGATGTCAGCCAACAACGGACTTTGGCCTGCTATCAACTGAAAACAGGTCACAGGAGTGCAGATCGAACAGCACTCTTGTGATCCATAGGAGAAGTACAGTCAAAAAAGCTTTGCCTATACTTCTCCTTTAAGGATAAAGAGGAATAAAATTGAGATGGGGTGTGGCTCAGATCCTGTGCATGCATAGGTACATCCTTGTAAACAGGATGGAACTCTACAGATGACGTTCTGCAATGTAAAACAAGAGACCTCAGTTTTCCTCTTGGGGGTTACAAGGTTCAGGCAAAATGCTAGAAAGCTGGTAAAGGAAATCTGTACAAATACAAATTTGCAGAATGCCATTTCCGATCTATCCTACTGGAAATGCTATTTGCATGACTATCAAGCTGATTTCATATTTTTGCTAGCTGCATGTTTGTCCTGGGACATTTACTCACAATAGTTTTAAACCACAGACAACATGGCCACCAGCTTTTTCCAAAAAGAGATCATAAATAGTGGTCCACGTTTTTGTTTCAAAACAGGTGTCCTTTAATTAGTAAATCAATGAGGCTGACCTGTAGGAAATGGCCCAGGTTATAGGAAAAATAGACATAGGCAATAGACAAGTGTACATTAAGAAAAAGTTTAATGAGCCTACTTGAAGACTATTCTAACTGAAGTTCTCTTCACATTTGACATGTTTTGTGACAATGAAATTAAAAATAAATGCATTTAAAGATGACTGATTGTAATAGAAGAAGATACATACCTGAAAGCGGTGAAAATCAGAAGGCTTGAAGTCATTTGGAGAGCAGCCACACCAATCAACAATGTGTTTGTATTGACATTTGCAGCCTAGTTTTCTATTCCAGTTAGTAATTCGCAAATTATTGTCCACCATGGTGTCACAGTAAGGGCTGTTTTCTAACACCGTATGAAAGAAAGACTGAAATAAAGAAAAATATTAGAGGGATGAGAGTCAATAGTGAAACTCAGTAAGAAAGCCAAAGCATTTTCAAAGAAACACCTATTCTATTATTTCTGTATGTTAATACATACATTCCACAGCAAATTGTATGTATGTATGGTAATACGTAAATTTTACTGTGGAATGTTATTAAAAACAATGAACTTCTACTGAAATAAACACTGAAAATCCCACACTAATTATTTTAATATTCACAAGATATTTGTATTTATAATCAGCTCTAAGGGCTCATGAACATAGGGCCTAATAAATGCTGCTTTTACAAGTGTGTGACTTCTTCTTTTTGCCTGTAAAAGCACCTCTATGTTACCCTATGTGTAAAGGCTTCATTTTTAAAACAATAACAAGCACATTATACTTTTCTGCTCCCTGCAGTGGTTTTGCACAGAGCAGCCCAGATCCTCCTCTTTTTGGGTCCCCCTCCGGCACTCCTGGCCCCTCCTTCCTGTCAGGTACCCCCACAGCAAGCAGCTTGCTATGGGGGGCACCTCCTCCGTTTGTCTATTCACACACAGAGCCATGGCTCTCATTGGCTGTGATTGACAGCAGCAGGAGCCACTGAGGAGAGGGAGTCCCGGGATTGTCAAGACATAGAATGCATGAAGGTAAAAAAACCTTGAGCCTTTACAACCACTTTGAATGTTAGATGTGTTTAATACTTGAGTGTTCATAC